TTTTTAATATCATCTATTCATTTTTCTTGAAGATATCAAATTGATACAGTGAAAAAAAATTTGTTTGATTCAAATAAAACCAATTAGTTGATTATTATCAATTAAATATTTACTTGAATGAAATAATTTTTATTTGAGTCAATTAAATAGTATTTGAGTCAAATAATTTTTCTTTCAGTCAATTAAATAGTAGTTGAGTCAAATAATTTTTATTTCAGTCAATTAAATAGTATTTGAGTCAAATAATTTTTATTTCAGTCAATTAAATAGTATTTGAGTCAAATAATTTTTATTTCAGTCAATTAAGTAGTATTTGAGTCAATTAAATAAAATTTGAGTACATTAAATAGTATTTTAGTCAATTGAATAGGATTTGAGTCAATTGAATAGTATTTGAGTCAATTAAATAGGTAGTATTTGAGTCAATTGAACAATTTTTATCGAAGTCAATTAAATGTTTGTCCAAATTTCGATAACAAAAAATTTTCTAATCAATAAAGAATTAATTTGGTTAATAATTCTCTAGTTCACTAGCTTTTAGAATTATTAAATTATAAAAAATTATAAAAAGTTAGTTATAATATAATTATTAAACATTAAAGATTAAAAACATTTTTATTAAATCCTAAATTAAAATTTCTTTGTTATAATTTATAAGCTTTATTGTTATCGAAATTTGCTTAAACAAACCAAATTTTGATTAAACTAATTTATAATTTATATTTAATAAATTCGAGTAAAATGTGCAATTATTAAAGTGAATTTGATTGCGTTAATCAGATAATTAAAGGTAATGGTAGCTTCAGCTAATAAATGAAAACTCTATTAATTTTAATGAATCTAAATTGAGGCTACAACTATTAACTTCCACTAAAATTATTTTAAAATCTTGTTAACTTCAATGAATATTGATTGAAGATACTATCAACTTCGATTAACGCAAGTTAAAAACTACCAATTAACATTCAAACGATTTTTACATTTTTAAATAATTATTAACTGAAGTTACTTCTAGAATTTTTAACACTAATTGAAAATTTTAACTTTTGGTTTATTTTCTAATTTCTAATAAAAATTTACAATTAGTGTCAACAATTGTACAAATTTGCAAAATTAACGTCAGTTAATAATAGTAGTTTGAATAATAATTGATTCAACAACAGCTTCAATTTTTGTTATTTTTTTATTAATAGTCAACTACAATTAGTGACAGCTTCAACAACAATTTTATACAACGGTTTTCATGTTGTTAACAATTATTGAATTATTTTAACTTTTTACAAAAAAAATTAACCGTAGATTTGAGTAATTGAAAAATAGCTTTAATTTTGATTGAACTTTGACTAAAAATTAACTTCCGAAAAATTGTTATAGCTTCGACGAAAAATTGACAATAGTTTTATTCAGTTAAAGAGTACCTAAATTATTATTAGCTTCAACAAATGGTAGCTTCTATCGAATACACTTAGAGAAATTTTATTTGAATTGAATAAATTTTATTTGAGTTAAATAAACGTATATTTGTCTCAGAGCCAACTAGACTGAAAAAAATTAATTTGATTCAAATAACCGGTTAATTTACAATTATCAATTAAATATTTAATTGAATCGAAAAATATTTATTGGAGTCAATTAAATACTAAAATACTCAAATACTACTTAATTGACTCAAATACAATTTAATTGACTCAAACACTATTTAATTGACTCAAATACTACTTAATTTACTCAAATACCATTTATTTGATTCAAATACTATTTAATTGACTCAAATGTTATTTAATTGACTCAAATGTTATTCAATTGAGTCAAATATTTAATTAACTCAAATACTATTTAATTGACTCAAATACTATTTAATTCCCTCAAATACTATTTAATTGACTGAAATAAAAATTATTTGATTTAAGTAAATATTTAATTGATGATAGTCAAGTAATCGGTTATTTGAATGAAATCAATTTTTTTCCATGCACACGGAAATAAACGCAGTGAAAGCTTCTTCATTATATATACAAGCCTCCTCTTGTCTATTTGATGGGAAAAAATTAAAATCGCGTAACTATATATAGGTATTGTGCATATGCTGGTAGGCTTATAACACATAACAGGAGTTGTTGCAACTAAAGAAGCATATCCTGATGACATTAATGACATCGTAATTTTTTGATGACACCAGTCTGCTCTCGTTGGACACGCATTGCATATATATATTTGTGTGTGTGTATACAGAATTACGAATTACGCAAAATTACTCCCCCGGAAATTTCCGGTCATCACATAATGCGACATATACCCGATCTATGTCACATATAAACTTTACGCTCCAAAAAATCGGACAGCATTTAATTGTATATACTATAATTAAAGTTGATCCAGTTGCTTTTTTCAAAATGTCGGCGCACTGACGAGTGATTTTTTTTAATTTGGAAAAATTGTTTTCTATCATAGGCAATTTTTTTTTGTTAACTGATATGATTTATAGAATAAACTAGAATAAAGATTAGCAATTAAATAAACACTAAGAATTAATTAGAATTTAAAAAAAAAATATCTAATTAAATATTTTTGAAAAATTTTAATAATTCAAATTCTTCTGAAATTAGTTACATATTTTAATATATATTTAATTAATTATTCAAAATAATGGATTTGCAGAAGAATTTTAGGTAAAAAAACACTAAAAGAATTGAATTTTGAAAAAGTTAGAAATTATTGCAGATATTCAATTGTCTTCAAAAATACGAAAATTCTTCGCAAAAATTCAATTATTATATTCAAAAGTTTTCAAAAATTTTCGTCAAAATTTCAATAATCTTTATAAATAATAAAAACTCTTCTCTGAAATTCAATTACTTTCAAAAATTTTAATAAAATTATTTGACAAAATTTCAATTATTTTCAGAAATTTTCCTCAATATCAATTTTCTTTTTAAATAATAAAATTCTCCTTCGAAATTCAATTATTTTAAAAATTTTAATACAATTCTTGGTAAAATTTCAATTATTTTCACAAATTTTCCTCAATTCAATGATTTTTAACATTTACTATTTTAATAAAATTTTCCAAAAGAATTCAATTATTTAAAACCAATTTTAATAAAATTCTAAACAAACTGTTAATTATTTTCATAAATTAATAATAAAATGCTTTTCAGAAATGCAATTATTTTCAAAAGTAATATAATTCTTCACAGAAATTCAATTATGTTAACAATTTTTTAAAAGTCTCATAAAAAAATCAGTTTGTTTTATAAATAAAATAAAAATTTTTTCCGAAATTCAATTATTTTCAAAAATTTTAATAAAATTTTTGGTAGAAATTCAGTTATTTCCATAAATAATCAAAATTTTACAGAAATTCAATTATTTTCATAAACAATAAAAATTTTACTGAAATTCAATTATTTACAAATTTTTTATTTCTTCGCAATAATTCAATTATTTTCATAAATAATAAAATTTGTTACAGGGATTCAATTATTTTTATAAATAATAAAATTCTGTTTTGAAATTTAATTATTTTCATAAATATTAAAACTCATCGCAGAATTTCAATTATTTTTAATACAATTTTAATCAAATTTCTCAATAAATGTAATTATTCTTAACAATTTTATTAAAATTCATCAAATAAATTCAATTATTTTAAAATTTATTGATAGAATTCTTCATGAGAATTCAATTTTAAGAAACATTCAAATATTCAAAAAATTATTTATTTTTGTAAATTTAAATAATTAAATTCCCGTAGAATTTTCTAATAAAAATTGATTTACAACTGAATTTCAGTTAAAATTTTAGCTAATAATTGAATATTAAAAACATAGCGTAAATTTTTATAAATAATTGAATTTTGAGAGGGTTACTAACTAAATTCTTTGAGAATTTGAATTTTTCATACTTTTATTAAAAATTTTGTGAAATTAATTTTTTTTTGAAAAGTTTAATTTAAGTTTTTTTGAAATTATTTCAAAATTTTTTTTTCTAAGATATATTTAATTGAGGAATTTCCGAATAATTGATATTTTTGGTAAAATTGAATTGTAAACAAATGGATTTGAAAATTCTCAAAGGTTTAAAAAAAAATTATTAAAAATAATTGATTATTCAGACAAAAAATAAGAGATGAAAATAGAAAAAAACCGTTAGTAAGAAACCCGTTTATTAATAAATAATTACAAGAATAGAAGAAATAATAAAAAAAAACTAATAACGATGGTAATATAACTATAATAGATAATCGTAATGATGATAAAATTGATAATAAATGATAGTAATAATAATAAAAATAAATAAAAAAATAGTAACAGTAATAAAATTAAATACTAACAATAATAATAATAATAATAAAAGTACTCGAAAAAATAATAATGATAATAAACAATAAACCCAATAAAAACAAATAATTATAATAATATTAACCTGTCAATGTTATAAATAAATATTTATATTTAACGTTGTATATTAATAATAATGAATAATGAAAATAGTAATTAAAACAATGATGGTTGTAATTTTAATAATAATAATAGAATTTCTAATCATAATGATAATAAATAACTCTAATAAGAATAAATAATTATGAAAATTGTCCATTAATGTTGTAATAAATATTTTTTTATATTTATTATCGTTTGTTATTTAGTAAAAGTAATAATAATAAATAATAATAATAATTATCATCTTTTTAATTAATATTTGATAATTAAAAAGATGATAATAGTAATGATGGTTTTTAAACATTTATACAAAAAAAAATTTTTTTTTTTTTTAATAATAATAATAATAATAATAATAATAATAATAATAATAATAATAATAATAATAGCTGCAGTAATAAAATAATGACCATAATAATGATGGTGATAATAATAATCAGGATAATAATTAAAATGATTAATTAGCAATTAATATTAGTAATAAAAAGCACAATAACAATATTAGTAATAATGGTGTTAATAAAATAAATGAAAAACATAAAAAATATCTCCGTATACCTCAAATTTGGTTGTCATTTTGATAAAGTGTGAACAACCCTTCTAGCAAGTAGAAAATGTTCTCTCTGTCTCTTTTTTTTATTTCTCTTTTTCTTTTTTGAGACAAAAAAATAATTGTTCACCAAAAATAGCGACGAACTATAATTTCTTTCTTTTTTTTTTTTTTGTTTGAAAATAAAAGAAAAAAAAGTGACTGAATTTCTAAGGTAGCATGACTATATATTTATATCCCCTTTATCTCGCGAATGGGGGGGTTTCGGCTGATTCCCGACGATAACTCGATCGTCACTTTTGATTAATAAAAACGTTTGCACCTGTTGACTCCCGGAATATCTTCACAAGACTGACGGTATAGTCTACCGGCAACTCTTCATGTCTCTCTTGCAGAGTTCTCTCTGACCCACTTCCTCGCCTTCTTGATGAAGGCACACTGCGCCTACCACCCATTATAAATAAGTATTTTATCCAAACTTATGAATGGATTTTTCATGAATGATATTTTTCTTTATATTGGTCATCTCTCGTCTTGTTCGCTTTATATTCATCTTCATTGGAAATTGGATTTTTACTTTCAATTGTTGTATTGCTTGGTATTGTTGTGTATACTCTCGAAATTGGAAATTAGTTATTGAAAATTACTAATTTTGTATCTATAATAAAATGTCAATTAATGAAATAGTAATATTAAAAAATAATAAAATTCTAAGGAAAGAAATTCAAATATTTTCAACAATGTTAATAAAATTCTTGGCAAAGTTTCAATTATTTTCAAAAGTTTTCTTCAATTCGATGAATTTTCAATATCTAATATTTTAATAAAACTTTCCACAAGAATTAAATTATTTAAAAAAAATTTTATTATAATTCTTCGCAAACATTTAATTATTTTCATAAATAATAAAATTCTTCTTCTAAATTAAAATATAATCAAAAATTTTAATAAAATTTTCGCCAAAATTTCAATTATCTTTAAAAATAATAAAATTCTTCTTCAAAATTAAATTACTTTTAAAAATTTTAATAAAATTCTTATCAAAATTTCAATTGATTTCAAAGATTTTCCTGAATTCAATATCTATTTTAATAAAAATTTTCCAAAAGAATTTCACTATTTAGGTAAGAAAATTTTAATAACATTCTACGCAAAATTTCAATTATTTTTATAAATAATAAAATTTTGCACTGAAATTCAATTCTTTTCAAATATTTTAATAAAATTCTCGTCAAAATTTCAATTATCGTTAAAAATAATAAATTTCTTCTCCAAAAATCAATTATTTAAAAAAATTTTAATAAAATTATTGGCAAAATTTCAATTATCTTTATAAATAATCAAATTCTTTACCGAAATTCAATTCTATTTATAACTTTTAATAACATTCTCGTCCAACTTTCAATTATCGTTAAAAATGATAAAATTCTCCGCCGAAATTCAATTATTTTCAAAAACTAATAAAATTCTAGGCAAATTATTTTTATAAATAATAAAATTTTTCACTGAAATTCAATTCTTTTCAAAAATTTTAATAAAATTCTCGTTAAAATTTCAATTATTTTTTAAAATAATAAAATTTTTCACCAAAATTCAATTGTTTTTAGAACTTTAAATAAAACTCTCGTCAAAATTTTAATTATTTTTAAAAATAATAAAATTCTTCTCCGAAATTAAATTCTTTTCAAAACTTTTAATAAAATTCTCGTCAAAATTTCAATTATTTTTTAAAATAATAAAATTCCTCTCCGAAATTATATTATTTTCAAAAACTCTAATTAAATTCTTAGCAAAATTTCAATTATTTTTTAAAATAATAAAATTCTTCTCCGAAATTCAATTATTTTCAAAACTCTTAATAAAATTCTTGTCAAAATTTCAATTATTTTTAAAAATAATGAAATTCTTTTCCGAAATTCAATTATTTTCAAAAACTGTAATAAAATTCTTTAAAAAATTTCAATTATCTTTATAAATAATAAAATTCTGTTCTAAAATTCAATTATTTTCAAAAATTTTAATAAAATTCTTGGCAAAATTTCAATTATTTTTATAAATTTTCCTCAATTTAATGAATTTTAATATTTACTATTTTAATAAAATTTTACAAAGGAATTCAATTATTTAAGACCAATTTTTAATAAAATTTTACGCAAACTTTTAATAAGTAATTATTTTTATAAATAATAAAAATTTCACAAGAGTTCAATTATTTTCATAAAAAAATAATACAATTTTTACAGGGATTCAATTATTTTAATAAATAATAAAACTAATTGCAGAATTTTATTTATTTTTAATCCAATTTTATTAATATTCGTCGAAAGAATTCAATTATTTAAACATTTGTCAATAAAATTCTTTATGTAAATTCAATTCTAAGAAACATTTATTTATTCAATAAATTATTTATTTTTGTAATTAAATAATTGAATTCTCGTAGAATTTTCTAATAAAAATTGATTTAACAATGAATTTCAGTGAAAATTCTGAGATAATAATTGAATATTAAAAGCATTATAGCAAAGCTTTTTAGAAATAGTTGAATTTTGAGATGGTTTTTATCTAAAATCTTTAAAATTTTGAATCTTTTATACTTTTAACTAAAACTCCTGTCGATTCAATTTTTTTTGAAAAGCTTAATAATTGAATTTTATTAAAAATTATTTGTATTTTTCATATTTTCTAATTTATATTTAATTTCAGAATTTCCGATTAATCGAAAATTCGTAAAATTTAATTGTAAACAAACACCATTTGTTAAAGCTAATAATAATTTACTCTTTAACTGAATAAAACTATTGTTAATTTTTATTTGAAGCTATAACAATTTTTTAAAAGTTAATTTTTAATCAAAGTTCAATCAAAATTGAAAGTTAACTATTAATAATTAATACCAAAAATTGAAGCTATTGTTGAATCAATTATTATTCAAACTACTAATTAACTGACGTTAATTTTGCAAATTTTTACAATTGTTGACACTTAATTGTAAATTTTTATTAGAAATTAGAAAATAAACCAAAAGTTAAAATTTTCAATTAATGTTAAAAATTCTAGAAGTAACTTCAGTTAATAATTATTTAAAAATGTAAAAATCGTTTGAATGTTAATTAGTAGTTTTTAACTAGCCTTAATCGAAGTTGATAGTATCTTCAATCAATATTCATTGAAGTTAACAAGATTTTAAAATAATTTTAGTGGAAGTTAATAGTTGTAGCCTCAATTTAGATTCATTAAAATTAATAGAATTTTCATTTATTAGCTGAAGCCAGCATTACCTTTAATTATCTGATTAACGCAATTAAATTCACTTTAATAATTGCACATTTTACTCGAATTCATTAAATATAAATTATAAATTAGTTTAATCAAAATTTGGTTTGTTTGAGCAAATTTCGATAACAATAAAGCTTGTAAGTTATAACAAAGAAATTTTAATTTAGGATTTAAAAATAATTTTTTTAATCTTTTAATGTTTAATAATTATATATTATAACTAAGTTTTTATGAATTTTTTATAATTTAATAATTCTAAAAACTAGTAAACTAGCGAATTATTTACCAAATTTATTGTTTATTGACTAGAGAATTTTTCTCTCTTGAAAATTAATAACAAAAAATACTAATCCAAACAATTTTTTCATGTTTCATGATAAAAACATCTGAGAAAATAAATTTCAAGTTCAAACCTCATATAATACATTATTGCGTTTTAAGCAAAAATAAATATAGTTATCAAAGTAGGACAATGGCAAAAGCGTTAAAACACCTTCTCTATTGTGTGTGATTGTTGAAAACGTTGTCAATATTTTTTTTTCAAAAATCTCAGAAATAATTTACGTACATATGGGTAAATGTTTTTTTCACTACACACAACGCAAAGAATGCTAAGTGTCAGCGATTGTAATTAAAATTCTCTTTTTTCTTTTCCTTTAATTTCAATGTGTTTATGACACAAAGTAAAAAAGAGAGAGAGAGAGAGAGAGAGAGACTTATAATCATGTGTTATTTATTTTATGATTTTGTGATTGTTCCACTTATGTGTCAAGCACTTTGAACATAAGTAACATTAATGTTATCTAATAAAAATATTTTTTTGCGAAAAGTAAAAAAGAAAATAAGAGAATTATTAAGAAATATATAAAAAAATTATAGAGAATCGCCCACATTCTTTGTTGTAAAAATCAAAGGGAAATAAAGTACAATAAAGTGTAGAATTTTCAGTGAAAGAAATTTCTCATGTTTTCTGTACATGATTTGTATATATAGTAATTTATCATTTTTATATATTACATTGAATGAAATAAATAGTACATATAATTATAATATAAAAAGAAAGTTTTTTCAGTCAATCAATCAAATAATGCGTGTGTGATTTGTATTTTGAAAATATAAAGAATAAGCCTTTCAAACTTTCCATAAGAGAGGGAAATTGGTTATACTGTCGCACATTAAAAATTATATATTAAATTGATTTATTGACGACTGTATAATTTTATAACAAGAAAAACTTTCATTCACCCGAATATATTTATATATAAATGTGTTGGATCATCGTCTTTTTAATCCAGGCCACGTCCCAAAAACTGCAGTAAACATTTATAGTATTCATCTCCGCATTTTTATTTCATTTAAACATATATACATATATATATATATATATATATATAAAATACAATCATGTAGTCTTCGATTCGAACATTTATAATTTTTATTTTGAAAAAAAGAAAGAAATTGAAATAACTCTTCACTTTCGGCAATAAATTAAGAATTGAGGAAAGATTAATTATTAAATAGAAAATAGGTACAACAGTAATGAAAAAATATTGATAGTCGGAGAATTTTGATTTTAGCTTCGTTTATGGTGAATTTGGCCAAGTTTAACGTAAGTCGATTATTATTATTTTTTTTTTAATGAAAACTTGGAAGTTGTTATCAAAAAAGAGAAATTATATGAAGTTTTTTCTAATGAAAAGTTGACAACAGTTTGAATTTAAAGATTATAATCTTTAAATTCAAACTATAATAATAATATAATAATAATATAATAATATAATAACTATAATATAATCTATAGATTATTATTAATAATTCAATTAAAGACTAAAGGACTAAATTACTAAATTACTAAATTAAAAACTAAATTACTATTAGCTAATTGATAATTAGCTATTAAAATAATAATTTTATAGTTATTATTGTAGTTTTGGTACCTTATCAAAAATTAACACTAGACGAAAGTAATTAACGAATGAAAAATATAATAAACAGTTTCAAGTAGTGTTAACAGTGTCAAAATCAACTACAATGAACAGTACCTTAAAATTTTAAAAATTTGGATCATCAGCAGCCTGAATGAAAGTATAATT